TTTTATAGTTGATTATTAATAATACTTAATACTTATGACCATCCATATTAATTAATTCGGGGTGTTTGGAATTGCTTATAAAAACAGCTTATTGATTTATCCCAGTGTGGCACCGGTAATATACATTTTTGAGTGTTTGGATAAACAATTTATACCGGTGTCAAACTGGCAATAAGAAGTTTTTGAAGAAGTTAAACATTTCTGACTTATAATAAGTTGATAAGTGCTTCTATAAAAAACATAAACTGTTTCAAATAAACAATCTCAAACATCCCATTTACAAAAAGCCTTTTCAAAAATTACATATCAGCTTTGTAATAACATCTTACATTAATGATTTTGTATACATCTTTCAAAAGTGGTCTTCATCACCACATCACCAACCACTTTGTAATTTATATTTACATATTTTAATAATTTATAATATCACAAAAAACCAAATATGATTTATTTATTTCATTAAGATAGATATAAATTATAATACAAATAATAATATTAATAGTTAATTAATTATGAAATATACAACGTAATTACAAAATTAATTTTTTTTTTGTTTTCTTTTATTATATTGTGTATAAATATAACTTAATTAACAATGGATAAAACGAATTGACGAATATATGAATTGCGTTCATCTTCAACATGTTGGAATCCTATAGATTTATGTCCTTGGTCATTTGTATATTTATTTGTGTGTATATGTTTTATGTAATACTAGAAGGGTACTCGCACAATGTAGCGAGATACATCGTGATTTTAATATTTCATTTTATTCTTTATCTCAGTCGATGTAATAATATCGTTTTATGTGATTTTGARAAAGCGATGATGTTTTTATTTTTGAATAAAATATATGTTTGAAGATATCATAAAATTTTGACAAAAATATATCAATATTAGTATCAAATTAACTAATTGAAATTTCTCATTTTTTGTGTAATTTTTTAATTCAATTTTTTTATAATTTTATTTAGATACAATAACGAAGTAATTTATATTTGGTTTAATAATATAATTTTTTTATAAAGATAATAATTATTTATTTTGTTGGAACTCGATAATTATTCTAATTATATTTT